CTATTTGCCGCTTGAACTTGTCTAATTTTGATGTACCGTCAGCATACAAGTAAAGTATCTGCTATCATACATGTAACTTTTTTACCCTCTGCCGAAAGTGCCTTGGAGAATTGCAACACGCGTACGCGCCTATACGCTTTTATTACACATTAACCGCTACTCAAACTACTCAAACTATCTCTGAGCGGCGCGTCGCAGCGCTGGTCTGGTCTGCATGCTGCGTTACAGCGACTGAGTAGCAATTTTCTCACGCAAACACTTGAAAATTGTGGCAAATGAGCGCGTGTCATGTGTCCGTCGGTCACCGCACGCTTGTTGCGAAGTAACCCCACCACCTTGCTACAATGTTTTCCATGCACCCTTTGTCGAAAACTTTCGCTGCAAGTTGATTTTTTGTTTTTTTCACGCAGCCGCTCAAGTTGTCCCGCGGGAGTTACTACTCGTGCGCTTAATACCTTTCTTCGTGAACGCTGGCGCTTTTTTCGTACTTTTTGCACTTCATTCACATTCATTTGGTAATTGAAAATTGACCGAACTATTTAAATGTGCTTTGTTGTTATTTTCGGCGTACACTTGTTCGTTGTTGGCATTATTATACTAGCAATTACCGTTATTATCGTACATCAGCGAGAATGGCGCAGCTACACACTGACTTTTCGCAATCGTTTATTTAATTAGATTTGGGATTTACTATCGCCTAAGTAGCAAATAACTGTTGATGGTAGTTTGTGAGATAAATTAGAAGGAAGAGCTGAAAAGTACCTGCCTTACAATATGTAGAGGGGTGTCTGCAGTAGGATTACCAACTGGCTTGTAGTTAATTTATGATTGTGGGAAAGTGATGGAAACGCTGAGAATTGTGAATATTCTTTACAAATAATTTTCATTTTTGTATTACGGTATTTTTCGTAAATAAGTTTTGCTGGACCAAATTTAAAATCCAATATATACACTACTAACTTCACCCTCAAGCACTAAACATTAGAAGAATCCACCAAAAAATTCCGAAACAAAATAAAATGCAAAACAACGTAACATCAAGCACGTCAAAATTTCGGTGTCAGATACAACAATTAAAAAAAAAAATTTAATTATTTTATAATGCCTTGAGAGCTTTAAAAGCTCTTAAAGCTTTTCTTAAAATTGCAGCAGCTATACTGTGTGTTCGATCAATAACTCAAAAGCTTAATAAGCTCTAAGAGCTTATCTTACAAATTTAAAAGCCCTTAAAGCTTTTCTTAAAATTGCAGCGGCTATACAGTGTGGTCGATCAATAACTCAAAAACTTAATAAGCTCTAAAAGCTTATCTTACAAATTCAGCGTGTATATGTAGCCAGCTAAAATTTGAAAACCACTAAATTTTTAAGAGAAAAAATGTAATAAATATAAAACCGTTTCTGCCTTGAGAACTTTAAAAGCTCTTTCAGCTTTTCCTAATATTTCAGCGGCTATATGAGCCCCATCAATAACTCGAAATCTTTAAATTTTTAAGACAACAAAAAATATACAACCGTTTCATAATGCCTCGAAAGCTTTTAAAATCTCAAAACCACTGAGTTCTTAAGACAAGCTTTAATAATAATCCGTCATAGACGACGCAAACTTATGGGGAATCCAATTCGAACATTTTTCAATCTCAAAAGTGACTAAAAAATTTATAACGGTAGTTGGTTTCTAAATATGCGCGTAGTGTTTAGAAGAGCAAAAAAATATAAAAAAATTAGAAGGAGTCAGTTAAGAAAGGATACACTTATGTATCGCAATCAAGTCCAACCTACGCATAAAGCGCTGACAATCCCAACAGACATACATACATATTGACAATTTCAATCTCAATGTGGTTTTGCTTCACCAGAACTTTCCGCATGTGGCATTCCCTTGCTTTGGTTATAAGAATGAAGAAGAGTTCATATACATTTATTATGGCCTTCTCTTCTCTTCACCCACATGATTTTAAGTTGAAAAATTATTAAGTATGAAAAAATTAGAATACATTTTCAATCGTTTCGGTTTTAGCAAGTGTCTTCTTCCTTGTTAAATCCTTGAGGAGGAGTCATCCCTCATGATGCCTGCGCTTGACATGAATTTTAACACACTCTGCGACTTCACTATCGATACCTCCAGCGTATCATTGCGTGGGGAGGCCAGATGTTCTTGCCAATACGGGAGAAATGCACAAGAGATGCTCCGTTGTTTCCCTGGTACCTTGCTCTAGACATTTCTTCTCGATCTGTCAATCTCATTCTGCGGGCGTGTATCGCTAGCAGACAGTGATCAGTTAATAATCCGATCAGGTTCCTACAGTGCCAATAGTAATTTTGTGTACTCCCGCTCTACCGTTTTATATATGACTTCTGCACGGATTTTGATTTATCTTCAACAAGAATCTGCGTGCTTTTGATTTCCATTGGTTTGTTTCTGTGAAAGCGGATACTTGCAAAAACCGAATCGATCGAAAACGCATGTTAAGGGTTGATAAACAGTTATCTCCGCGCAAATTATGCCTTTAAATGAATTTTCACAGCAATTGAAGTCATTAATCAAATTATTAATTTCGCTGCATCAAGCAAATTTCTACAGAATCACAAAAGTGTGCCAGCAACAAATCATATATTCAACACTTATTGCTCACCGCCTGCGAGCGCTACTGTCAACTGCTAACCTTTTCCACACATATCACATATAAAATCACACAAATTGAATATATAAATATTTACACAAGGCCACATTTGAAATGACCAAATATTTTTACATTTTTAAGCAGATATACACACACACACAAAGAAATCCGCACGATTTGCAATGAAAAAAGAAATTTTCCTTAATTAAAGTACATACCAAAGGCTGAAATCGCCAGGCATACGTGAATATATACACACATTTATTATATATACATATGTATGTGTGTGTTTATAGAAATGTGCTCATATTTTGAATGAATTCTTTTAATTACATATCAAATTTCAATTCCTTTTGCTGTGAAAAGAAGGCACAACAATGCATGAAGGCGTTCGGTGTTGAGCGGGGTGAACAGTGTGGGGCTTGTTTTTATTTTGTTTTTGCACTTTTTTTATTTCATTTTATTTTATTTACTGGCCTTCATTTGTGTTGCGCGCAAACTCAGCTGACCATTAACACTTTTGGTGCAAATGGTAACGAAATTGTTGTTTTTTTTTGCTTTAGGCTTAGTGCACACGTACTCCGTTCTCACCATGACAGCATTGGCCGCCAAACGCAGCATCATTATTATTAGATACAACTAGGCTTTGTTGATTAATGAGCAACTAATTATTATACCGTTCTGCACACACACACACCAAAGCAATGCAGTAGTAAATACCTAGCGTAAATATGCAGTATAGCAAGGTATACGGTTTCATTATGTGAGAACATGCAGTCACAGTTTTGCAAAACGAACAACTTTTTCCAAACACTAAGCAAATAAGGCAAACCACACACTTCAGTACATTTTACTAGGCGGTCTTTAGAGCGCTTAGGCAATTTGATAGAAAAGCCCGAAACCGCGCATAAAGCCTCAACCACCCGCTGATTGTGCATGCGCTGGCGGCATGTGCCGTTACAGAATCGACAAAGGTGGTGTAAGCGTAATATACGAGTAAGGTGGAGCATTTTTGCTATACTTATATAAAGGAAATAATTTTATTTCAATTTCCTTTGCTGCGCCACCATTTTGTGCGCCAAACTAACCCCCAAAATATGTACATAAGTTTATATGCTTTTACTCACACTCAACCGGCGCTAGGCATTAATTTCAGTGCGCGCTTTTCTGCTGCTTTGTAATGAGTTTGCGTTAGTAGTTGAGTGGCTGCAGGCGGCCGTGCTCATTACTAATTACATAATTACATTGGAAAATGTTGAGTAAGTAAAGCAGAAGTTATTAATACGATTTCCTATGGAATAGAAGCACTGCCAATCATATTTTTTCACTTGTGAATGCATATAACAATAGACATTGCGTTGCATTGAAGTAAAAGGTGGACAGGTGGAACAAGGAATAAAAAGAAAGAAACGCAAAAGTGATTTATTTTACATTTTTTGAAGCTTTTAAGAAAGACTTAATAAATTCAAGCGTTTTCTTTGAAGTTGTCAAGTATTTCATTATTTTACAACCCTGTATTTTTTTCCAAACAGTCTTAAGGGTCGCAAATTTGCTTGAATTGAGTTTTAAAACATTTGAAAAAAAAAATTATTTCATTATTCTATAAAGTCTTGAGAGTTTTAAAAGCGCTTTTCTTCAGCGATCGGATGTAGTCAGCTAAAATTTCCAAACCATTAAATACTTAAGAAAATAAAACTAATAAAGATAAAACCGTTTCATAATGTCTTGAGAGCTTTAAAAGCTCTTAAAGCTTTTTTTTAAATTTCAGCGGTTATATGTGATCGATCAATAACTCGAAACCTTCACAGTTTTGAGCAAACAAACAATATAATGCCTTCGGAGCTTTAAAAGCTTTTAAAATCTCGAAACCACTAATTTCTAAATCTTTAATAATAAACAGTCATAAGCGACAAAAACCTATAGGGAATGCACTTTTTAGGTGTTATTAAATTCATTACTACGAACCACAAAAGAAAATCAAAGCACGTAACCTTAAAACTCGGAGTGATAATTGAAAATTACAAAAAAAACCTCTCCTTGTTGATCTGCAAATTCACTTCCAACTAACCAGTTTTTGCATGGGCCTCGTAAATCAGATTTTTATGTTTTTAAATTTTTAGAAGAGGATTTTAAGGCGATATTCGAAACAATTGTAATATTAGAGCTTGTTTTTTTTTTATAAAAAAAACCTTACTCTTTAGATTAAAACAAAAAACAACTACAACATTTCCAGCCAGATAAAGCCTTCCGCAGCACTTTCTCAAGTTTTGAACCCAACCTCTTCAGGGACAGGTTGAAAATACTGCATTTCTAACTAAACTTAAGCTTCATCTTTTAAAACCAAAATTTAAAAGTTTACTTTTTCTCTTTTCTTTCCAGGTTTGGTTCCAGAATCGCCGCGCCAAATGGCGAAAAACGGAGAAATGCTGGGGTCATAGCACCAAAATGGCCGAATATGGTCTTTATGGCGCCATGGTGCGACACTCGTTGCCGCTACCCGAAACTATACTGAAATCTGCAAAAGATGACGAATCAGTGGCCCCTTGGCTACTCGGCATGCATAAGAAATCACTCGAAGCCGCCGATATACTGAAATCGGATGAAAGTGATCGCGAAACACCGACCTCAGACGACACGAATACTTCCTACTCCGCTGGCAGTACACACAACTCGCCGATCTCTTCATTTTCCATATCACGTTTGCTCTTCGACGCACCATCCAAGCACAAGCGACATCATGACGTGGGGAGCAGCGGTGTTATGGGTGGCGGTATAGATCTAGCTAATGGCGCTATGAGTGGTCTAGCTGAGCAAGCACATGCACAGGCGCACGCACATGTTATGCAACATCATCCCTACAATCAACAACAACACTTGCAACATGTACAACATCTGCAACAATTGCATCAACAACAATTGGCCGAACAGCATGCCGAAGCACAACGTCGTCAACAAGCAGCACATCAACATCAACAACAATTGTTGGCGGCGGAAGCGGAAATGCAGCGCAGACGACAGGAGGCGCATGAACAGCGTGTACGCGAACGTGAAGCCGAGGCGGATGAGGAACCGATGTGTGATGATGATGACGATGAATGTGATAGGGAAGAAATTGACATCTGTGACGATGTGGACGATGATAAGGATATTAAAATGTTGTTGAGCGCTGAGAGCGCTGCAAAGCGGATCAAGCAGGAGAGCAGCGCGTCAATGGCGTTGGAGAGCAGATGAAATATGTGTATTGATGTGTTGTTGTAAGAGGGGGGTTTGTAGTGCGGAAAGCGAAATAATGTTGTAACTCAAGCGTAACGCTATCAAAATACTGGAGGAAACGTAAAATTTTGAAATAAATTGGCTTACATGAGCATATTTGTATTAAACTCACGCTTGTTTCATGATTTTTAACGCACTTATGTACATTGAAGAAATGAAAAAAGAAATTCAAGTGAAAAAAGCACAATAGCGCACTCGGTTAAAAATTCTATTTCTTATAAATAAGCTGTTAAGAATATAAAATGGTTTATGAAAATTACGCTCTTTAAGTGGAGATTTAGAGCTTCAGGCATATTGTGCATATATTAAATTTGCAAAAATTTATAATTTTAAAACAAAAAATAGCTAAAAACGTTGTTTAAAAATATTAAGTAACAAAACACGCATACAAGTGATATCACTAAGCTAAATTTTTTCAGCAGTTTTTTTTAAATATTAAACAATGATGATTGCATTATTGCAAAATTTACAATTCTGAAAACTCACATTAATAGATTCACTACTACGTTAAATTAAATCGAATAAAAAACTTCCGTTTACAATTAAATTCCTGAAAATTTTTGTTTCGTCCTTTAACTAAAGCTTCAATGCACTGTGCTTGAGAATTTATAAGTATTGCATTTGATTCACGTGTGAACTGACCTAAGCAAATAACAATCGATTTTATTTCGATTGTTTAAACTCATCGCACATGCATACAATTTGAACAGTAAAAATTTTTTCTAACAATCGATTTTATTTCTATTGTTTAAACTCACCGCACATGCATACAATTTGAACAGTAAAAATTTTTTTCTAACAAGTGCACATCAAAATATAATTTTAAATAAGTATATAACACACAACGAAGCTTTTTTCACAAAAAACTTGGCAGTAACAGAAATAATCACACATTTAATATATTTAATACAAACAAACGACACTACATGCAACGACATGTTCAATAAAATGGCACACGAATATAAACAATATTTGTAACAGTAGTTTTGAGCATTTACTGCAACTGTAAATATTACAAATAGATGTACATAAGTATATTTGTAAGCGAGAAGCGATAGAAATGCATTTGTAGCACAAATTACACCCAAAAAATATTTAAATGCAATCAAAATTTGGGCAAATAATAATATTTAATAAAAAAATTAAGGAAAAAGTATAAATTACATTTAGCAACAAATACACTCTTTCTACTATGAAGCACATGAAATTCGATTTGAATTATTACAAAATATAAATATGTATAGCGTAAAATATAGATATAGTGTAAGCAATTTCATTGTGATTTAATTTAGTAATTTTTAGTTTATTTTACGTTCGTACCCAGTGTTGTATGTACATAAATATATAAATAATATTTGAAAAACGAAATTTACTTAATAAATATTTAAGAAGATCTTAATTTAAGCTTTGCAAGTCCGAAAGTGTTCTTTGATTATTAACTGGTAGATGTAATGCAAATTTTATGGAATAAAATGGTATA